TGCCTGCCATAGATGCAGGTGAAACATCAGGAGAGAATGCTTCTGGAACATGGCCATACAGCCCGGAAAACTCACAACAACCCAGTGATTCCAGCCATGAAAGTCTTCGACAATACAGAGAACTCCCCAAACTTTTACTAATCTGCAGAGCATTCTTTTCATAATTTGCATCAGTGTTTGCTGGTATCTTGCTTCCAAGTCAGTGAGGTGGTAGATCCATTCGGGGTTTTAATCCAAACATTAAATGGCCTAGATTCCTCCAGCCTCTTACTAGGGCTTTAAAACTTTGGGCTGAAATCTGAAACTGATTCACCACTCAATTGACCTGACAGCCACCAGCCACCAGCCACCACTGCTTTCCATTTTGACTTGGTAATGATTGTATGCTAACTAAGGACAAGTCTTTGACTAACTTTAGGAAAGATTGGGATGTGTTTATTACCTTTTCACAACAACGATGCAGGCATTTGTCAATTGTACAATTGATGCATTAGTAGAGTGGAGCCCCTGGTGGCACAGTGGGTTAAACCTCTGAGCTGCTGAACTTGCTGACTGAAAGGTTGGCGGTGTGAATCCAGGGAGTGGGGTGAGCTCTCGCTGTTAGCACCAGCTTCTGCTGATCCAGCCGTTTGAAAACATACAAATGTGAGTAGATCAGTGGGAAGATGATGGCGCTCCATGCAGTCATTCAGACCACATGACCTTGGAGGTGTCTACAGACAATGCTGGCTCTTCATCTTAGAAATGGAGGTGAGCACCAACCCCCAGAGTCAGACACAACTAGACTTAATGTCAAGGGGAAACCTTTACCTTTACTTAGAGTAGAGCCAAAAGCAGGAGGATTATATAATATCATTTAAACACAGCAGTAACCTAATAAGATAGAAGTTGGGAAGTTTGTAGATCTGTTATTGCTATTGAGTTTTTCTTTTTGTTTGTATGTTTTGTTTTTGTCTTTCTGTTTTGTTATTCTTAAAAGTCATTTAGTATGTTGTCCTGTACGAATGCATGTAGTTGTGTAGTTTTTTTATTTACATATCTAAAAACAATCATTTATATGTTTTCTTGAATAAAAATTACTTTTTGAAAAATACCTGTGTGCTGCAGATAGCCAGCATGGTATAGCGGATTCAGTGTTGGACTAGGACTCAAAACCCGGATTCAAATCCTTGTTCAGACAAATCTGCAGGGTGCCTTTGGACAAGTTGTGCTCTTTCAAGGTACATCTACACCAGTGGTTCCCAACCTTTTTTTTTTTCCTCGTGTCAGGAGCGACTTGAGAAACTGCATGTCGCTTCTGGTGTGAGAGAATTGGCTGTCTGCAAGGACATTGCCCAGAGGACGCCCGAATGATTTAATGTTTTATCATCCTTGTGGGAGGCTTCTCTCATGTCCCCACATGAGGAGCTGGAGCTGATAGAGGGAGCTCATCCGCCTCTCCCCAGATTTGATCTTCAGTCCTGCCGGCACAGGGGTTTAACCTTTTGTTGACCAGGGACCACTTGAGCAGGGACCACTCTCCAACGTCTTCAATCCTGCTGGCACAGGGGTTTAACCTTTTGTTGACCAGGAACCATTTCACCAGGGACCACTCTCCAACGTTAGTACCAAAAGGGTTACGAATCAGTTTTTGATCAACTTTCGATTCAATTTGGTTATTTGGAGTGCTGATTCAGAAAATTGCAATGGACAGACCACATCAGTTCTAGCTTCTGATAGAGAACATATGCCATCCAGTAGTCGCCATCTGCTCACCCAAAGAAAACCATATTTAATAATATAGAGCTGATGTGGTAGTAGTAATCATTCATGGGTAGTCAGCCTCTCCCCTTCCAACATCCCCGTTGCCTTAGCACCATAAGAGGGTGTCGCTCTCGTTGCCACGTGGTTTCAAGGCAACTGTGTAGTAATGGTGAAGCCACAGACCATATTTTCATTCTTGCGGCCCACTGGTGGTCCACAGACCACAGAGTGGAACCACTGATCTACACAAACCATATAATACAGCTTGCAGTTGGCTTGGAGGCAGGGTATCCAGAAAATACCCCCCCCCCCCCAATTGCATGTTGTAGTGCTTATTAAGCTTACAGCAAAGCATTAAAAAGAACTCACCAGAAAGTCCAAAATAAGAAAGATAACATGCTGCAACTGGTCAGAGTATAGCCCATGCAGGGCTTGAAACTGAGATGGAAAAATGCAGAGTGCTTGTCAGGATACTGCTAGCACTGATGCACATTTTAAAATCGCCGAAACACAGCTGGCCAGAAGGGAGGGAAACCACATCATTCCCATGGGAATGCTCACTTTCCACCCTTTTCTTCTCATTTCCTGTACCCTGCCATGGTCCAGCGCTGATCCCAAAAGGACATGGAGATGCACATCAGTGCATCTCAGCAGACTGGTTAAGAAAAAAAAAAGCAGACTGGTTAAGAAAAAATACTGGGTTCAGTTCTGATTGGTGATCAGTGGATACTGTGGCCATTGTCCCAGCCGCAAACAGATTTCTGAAACAATTTTGCTTTATAGTGTCAGTGTAGAAGCACTCTAAGGCATACAGCAAAGAAATTCTGAGAAAACCCTAAAAGAGAGTTGAAGTCAACATAAAGAACAATAAGAAGAACAGCAACTATCAGAAGCTGTTTTCCTATGACATCTGATCCCCCTCTAGTACTGCAATTTGCCTCGTATCTTCTACCCCAGCCTTTTCAAAATTTGAAAATTCTGCTATAGTGGATAATATGTCTCCAAAATTTCCCCAACCTGCTGACTGGGAGATTTTGGGAATTGTAGTCCAACACAACTGGAATCCACTCAGTTGGGTGAAATTATCCAGTCCATTTCCTCCCAGTAAGTTTCCTGTTTCTCTTCTCCTTGGGAAAAAAAGAAGACACAGGTCACAGCCTTTTCACAGATTCTTTCCAGGGTGTTATTCACAGCTCTCTCTCTCTCTCTCTCTTGTTCACCACAAACTCAGAAGCTTTTGGCTAAAGCTCCAAAACCACATATGACAGCTTTATCCACATGTTGCAATACACTTGTATAACTTGCCTGTCTTACAACTCGTATCAATTCAGCCCTGTAGTGGGGAGGTTAAATCTAAGCATTGTTACTTGTCTATTGGACTGAAGCAAGAGACTGAGCTTCCAAGTGCATTAAGCTTATATTGCTTTGTTTCTGTCTTAAATTTCACTATAGGAAATCTAGAACTTAGATTTAGATCTAGATTAGGGATGAGAAATTTGGATGACTGCAACTCCTATCAGTCCCAATCAGCATCATAAATGGTAAGGGGACATGGAAAATCAAGTTTACTCATAAAAATATTCTCCTTCTCTTTTCTCAATGTATGTTTAAATAGGTACCTTCTAAATTTGATTGTATATGGGCATGTGACCAGATAGTATCAAGTATGTAGGGCTCCTACTGAGCAAATGGCTTAGGAACATCTGTCTTATATGGGATCGGCCAATTGGTAAAGATTATCTTCACCAAGATTTCAGATAGTAGGTTTTCTAGCTCTACCTGAGGCAAGGAATTGAAATAGCAAGCAGTATCTGTGTCCTTAAAAGTATAGCATTTCTGGGTTGCTATGAGTTTTCCAGGCTCTATGATCATGTTCCAGAAGCATTCTCTCCTGACGTTTCACCCACATCTGTGGCAGGTATCCTCAGAGGTTGTGAGGTCTGTCGGAAACTAGGCAAGTGAGAGGTTGTGTTACATTCCAGGACAGGAAAAACCCTCTGACTTTAAACACCACACCATCGGATGGAAAACAATCCTTTTATTAAAAAGCAGTAAGGTAAAAAACACTTTAAAGAAATAGGTAAATCCAATTGAGTAAGAAGATAAGCAGGAACAAAGTAGTCCAGGGTAATAGTCCAGTAAAGTCCATTAAAACAAAGTCAAAACTTCCCAAAGATAATGCAAAAAATCAGGAAACATGAACTCAAGATATGAATATAAAAGCATGAAATTCAAGACTCAAAACCATAAAACAAAGGAACTTAAAACATAAATTTCCCAAGCAAAACTTTAATGAACAAGAATGAGAACTTGACTTGATTCCAAACGATACTTCATCTGACTGCCTATCCTGTACTTGGGACTTTTATCTCCTCGTTAGCTAAGTCTCTAGCTTTCAGAAATTGGTTTTGTTTTAACTGAGAATTTCTTATCTTTTTTTCTCGGAGCCTGGCAGACTGCCGAAGCCACTGTTCGGCTCTCCTGTATTGACTAATCTCCTCACATCTATCTATTTGCTCATTATCTATTTGCTCATTAATTTCTGCAGCTGAGCCAGGTGCCGAGCTGTTTTCATGTTCCCTATCATGGTAACTCTCTGGTAACAATTCAGAAAGCACACCATCATCCCCACACCCCTCAGGGACATTCTCATGGGAAACTACACTTTGAACAGGGATCTCCTGGTCATTCTCTGCACCAAGATCCCTGACCAAACCATTGGCATCTTGAAACTCATCTTGAAACACGTTGACATCACTCCCACATCCAAAGCACCCTGATCCTGAAACACAATCACAGGCTGAGCTCCAACAGGTTGTGAGGTCTGTTGGAAACTTGGGGGTGAGAAGGCCGGGTCACAAATGCAGAAAATAAATAAATAAATAAAAAAGTAGGGTTTATATATTTGTGGAATATCCAGGGTTATAGAAATAACTCTTGTCTCCTTGAGGCAAGTGTGAATGTTGCAATTCGCCACCTTGATTAGCATTGACCTTGCAGGGGTATAAATAAATTATTATTATTATTATCATTATTATTATTGGAAACAGGTCTAACATTTGAGGCACCAACATGTGTGTTGGCTAGTGTCATTACTCTGTACTGATATTGGGTGGAATATGAAAATTACACAGAAGGGTTGGCAATTTGGAAAAGGATGGTAAGATGGAGGTTGGAGGGAAGACTGGGGTATAATTCATATGGGTGGAGCTCAGAGGGAAGAGGCAAAAACTAATGTCATGTCTCCCCTTTGCCAGGGTCCTGCGCTGGAAGGGAATCTAAGATGAAGTTATGGGATGTGGTGGCTGTCTGCGTGGTGCTACTCAACACAATCTCGACCTTTCCTCTGCCCGCTGGTAAGACTGCTTCCGAGAAGGCCAACTCAGTGCTAAAGAGGACAGAAGAGGAACACCCTTCCAACAGGCTGCTGACTCCCTACGCCGGCCAAATGAACTGTAAGGAAATAAGCTCCCCTTTCCTCATTGCTGCTCACTCGTCATCTTTCCAACAATTATGCTTTCAGTTGTTTTAGCCCCAGTTAAGTCCAAATAGCCAGCTCCCCTGTAATGGTTTCTACTTTTCCAGCCCAAAGACAAAAATTGTGCTAACATGAAAAACAGACAGGTAATAAAACTGTGGTTTGGCCCACGGTTTTAATGATGCAGAAGACATTGGGAACCAAGATGCCTAGCTTGACTTGTTCATTCACTATGATATTGTCATCTCATTGGCATCCATGAAACCTTTAGAATATACATGGAAGGTGGTTCTTGAAACAAACTGAGCCAAGTCTAAAATCAAACTACTTTGTAATTTTTTAAAATTCAAGGCTGTTGAAATCTATACTATTCTTCTTGGGTATCTCCAGCAAAAAATAATTGGAATTCAGAAGGTCAGATAGTTTTTTACATGATTCCATAACTGCTAAGAGTGGAAAAATACATTTTAATGTCAAATTCCTGCAACATGTTCACACTTTGGACTGTATAAGTCTAACAAAGACCTACTGACTTTGCAAGACTTAACTGGGAAAAAATCCAATAACTTTACTATTAACTATGCTGTTTATTGAGCTGACAGATGGTTTAAGTAGTTTATGGATTTTAGCCATTTTTGGTAAGCTGACAAGTCTACTGTTGAAGTATATTGCAGTGCATTAAAGTGGAGTCTATAAAAATTCATTTCGCAAGTAATTAATTGAGATCAACAGTCTAGCTCGACATTGATTCTGTAGAGGGCTAGGTTGCTGAAAACACTGTTGTTGGACAGAGGTTGCGATCCACAAACCACTTGCTCCAGAGATGACCCAGTGCTTTCATAGGAATGAATTTTGATGGAGGGTTTATGTACCATAGTTGGATCTCATGCATGTTTACTCTGACATAAATCCCACTGAGTACAATCAGAATTGCAGCCTTTGCCATCTGATTCACATTTCCTTGCAACTAAATTCCGTTGGGGTTTTCTCATTGGGATTTTCATGATGAATTTTTTATTTTTATTTTCTCTAACAAGAATACAGTTGAACTGCTTATATTTTCTATTTCTCTGTATGTACCAAATCCAACTCCAATGAGGGCCTGGCTGCCCCAAAGTCAGTGAATTCAGTGTGTATATACCTCATAATGGAGTTCAGAAAAGTTAATCGTTTGGACTACAATTGGCCATGCTTTTTTCAAGCTCTGGTTCATAACATGTACATAACAAGATTCCTGATCTCCCTAGAGCTTCCAATACCATGGAGATCTGGTGCAATGGAGATCCCTTTCAAAGCATCTTCTACCATGTGTATGGATGGCAGAGAGTTGGCTGCATATTTCAGTGATGGGATCAAGAGCTTTGTTGATTTTGGTTGCTTGTTTGTTTGAGTTGTACCCCCCCCCCCAATCTAACTCAAGGTGGCTGGCAATCTTACAACAACAGATAGTTCAAATCACAAATAATAAATTGCAAAATATGGACTCAAAATACCATTAAAACAATGCAAATAGCAGTAATCAATTGGTTACATTATTTGTCCTAGTCTGTGTAAATCAATGTCTGAGATCCTGTATCAAAGACGTAAAAGGAGCTACATCACTAACACAAAACAGAACTGTACTACTGAATTCTAAGGTGCACCATGGGACACCATGCAAGATGTTCCATCACACAGTTGGATGCATGGTGTATCAAGACATGGTGCTCACTGAGACACATTGCTCATTGGCATGCTGCTGGCTCCACTTGCATAATAGTCCTGATGATGTAGCTATGTCTCCATTCACTACTATGTCTCCATTCATTACTAAGGTGTTCTGCATACAAACCATTCTAGAAAATGAAAGTATGAAGGACAGGCAGAGATCGCTGATGGAAGGAAATTCCACAACTAGGCTGCCATCACCAAGAAATCCCCAGTGTTGTTTTCATTGAAAAAGTTGGAAGGGACTTCAAGGACTACCTACTCCAGTGGTTTCCAACCTTTGATCCTCCCGTTTTTGTTTTTTTTGGACTTTATCTCCCAGAATTCCTGATAGTTGGCCAAGCTGGCTGGGGCTTCTGGAAGTTGAAGTCTCAAACACCTGGAAGAGCAAAGGTTGTGCACCAGTGATCTAGTCCAATCCCCCTGCTATACAAGAATGGTCAGAATTCTATCATAATTACAGCATGAAAATATGGATTTTTGTTGTTGTTTGAAATACGACTCTCTGAATCTTCCTCTGCCTGTGATAGCTGGCGGATTCATAGCATTATAGTCCAAAAAACACATTTCCAAAGGTATGATCAAAAATCAAGTTCAAAGTGTGTCATTCTAGTGAGAAATACAGCAAAATTCGCAGACCATTGTAAGTTGGGCCAGATTTGCTTCAGGGCTGATAAGACGGAGAGAAGGTCTACACATAGCATAAGGGAAGGAAGTGGCCAGGAGGATGAATTTTAGTAAGTAAAACTCTCAAGCATCCTCATATGCAGAAATGCCACATACGCCCACTGTTCTTTAGGTCACCCATGGCCTTTGTATCACATAGGGCACTGTGCTCCCAGTGTGGTTTTGTTATTGTTGTAAAGTATACACAGTAGTCTCTACTGTTGCTTTCCTGAGAGAGTAGGATTCTCAGGCTGCTTTCGCCTCTTCAGCATCTTCCCAGCAGATGCAAAACCACATTTACATTCTTTCTTCTTCTGCCTCGTCTGTTCCTCTTTCCTTCTCGTCCCACTGGAATTTTTCCTGGGCTTCCCTTTTTGCATTTTGGAAAGAAGCCACGTTTTTCTTCCAGGAATGATTCAAGTTGGCCAAATGATTTAACTTTCACTGTTCCTGTCTTCTTCTGTACCATTCACCCTCTGGATCCTTGGAAAGCGCCAGTCTGTATTCTGTAAAAATTCTTACACAAAATAAGGCTTTGTGTGTGTGTGTGTGTGTGTATCTATATAAATAAAAATATAATGTTCATTTGTGGGATTAACATAACTCAAAAACCACTGGACAAATTGACACCAAATTTGGACACAAGACACTGATCAGGCCAATGAGTGACCATCACTCATAAAAACATTGAAAAACACAGCGGAAAAGACTTAAAAAGCCAAAAAATAAAAAATACATTACAACACATGCGCAAAACCACATATATATATGCAATATATACGCAAACACACATACACACACACACACACATATACACACACAAGGCACATATACACAGACTGAACCACAGCAACGCGTGGCAGGGGACGGCTAGTATGTATGTGTATGCATATATATAACTGTAATGTTCGTTTGTGAGATTAACATAACTCAAAAACCACTGGGCAACTTGACACCAAATTTGGACACAGTACACCTAACAGGTCAACAAGTGACCATCACTCATAAAAACACTGCAAAACACAGCAGAAGAGACTTTAAAAGCCAAAAAAGAAAAAATACATTACAACACATGCGCTAAACCACATATATACAGAAATATATATACACACAAAACACATATACACAGACTGAGCCACAGCACATGTGGCAGGGGACAGGATATATATATATATATATATAATATTCAAGTTTCTCTTTCTTGGTGATTTATACTAGTTCTGGCTAGAATCCTGTATGGTGCAGCATAATTTAGTAGTTTGCATATGGAATTATTCTACAACTGACCCTGCAAATAATTCAGACTTAATGTGTTGTCAAAGGCTTTCATGGGTGGAATCACTGGGTTGCTGTGAGTTTTTCAGACTTCACATTGAGCCACTGTATCCACTGCTGGTGGAGAGGCCTGGAAAATTATTTGGCTGTGCTCCCATAGCCAAGTGTTGAGATCTGCTGGGGTACTCTGGTGATGATGTAATCATTTTGCTTCTGGCTGTGACACCTGTCCCGTATGCCTCTGCTCTCCACCAGCCACAAATGACTGTGGGAGGAGGACTCTACAGTGAGCCCAGAGGTGCATCCAGTCATTGCAGAGAGTAGAAGGGCATATTAACCCCCCCCCCCATTTGCATACATAGGCATAAGGCAGACTTACTCCTTTGCATGCTGTTAAGAACATGCCAGATATTATGAACATTATTTCACTAGATAGGCAAACTGGCATTGCAGCTGGACTGTCACCTTTGTATCATGTGCCTCCCACTTCCTCACTATTGACATTGTAAAACCCATCAATTACTCCCAATCCAAYGACSTTCCCATCATTTACTTTGGTAAAAAAGGGTCCTTTTTTACATCTCTGCCAGCACACCATCAATAGAATGACATCAGGGAGTGGGATTATTCTCTCTCCCCCCCCCCCAATTTCCTTGCTATCTTTTATATTTTGGAGTTATTGAATTGTAGTTATTGAATTGCAAAAATTCCCTAAAATTAAAAAAAAAAGGAACACTGGAAAAATGGGCTTATGAGGGTATGCAGAAGTATAATTGCAGAAAAGCCATCATTGTTCGATTGCAATATTGAAGATACTCACCCTATGTATTCTCTATCAAGGATAGACTGACTGTAGCGGAATAGTAGTTTAATTTGATAAAGTCCTGTATCTCTCATAGCTAGTCCCCTTTTTGAAATGGTTTTAAGTGACTTTAGGGAGGTATTAGAGAAAGCCATGTTTTCCTATAAGAGAAATAATATATAATATTAAATCTGTATTTATATGCCGCTTTTTCCCATGACGGGAACCAAAGCGACTTCCAACACGTTAAAATATAATACAAAATCAACAGTAATTGAACACACAAACATAACACATTTCAAACAATCAAAGTAAAACAGAAAGCTGTTGTGCCTCCCTTTGAGAGGGCAATAAACAAACAAACAGACAAACAAGGAATTATGTAAGTTTGAAACGTGGATCGGCTTAGACGATACTACTGGAAAGTGAGATTAACAGGAAGACATTGTTTTAATGGTTTTTGTATTGTATTCATTTTATATTGATTTTATACGGCTATTTTACAAGTTTGAATTGTATATTTTGAA